ACAGAGGTTGTACAACATTTGGAGTGGGTGACGAGGGCTCTTAATATGTCCTAGTAACGGGACCCAGACATGAGACTTTGAAGTTAGTAGTCCTGCCGCTGAGAAAAATTTTCAGAAAAGGACCCGCTCCTCCCCAGCATCCAAATACCACCCCCCCCCCGCTGGGAGTCCCCAACGTACGAAGTGGGCTGGTAGTCTCACTCGTATTTCTGTTCTCTAAGTGTTCATCTCTGATCATTTTGTTTCGCGCTCATAGCGTTTCTTCATCTCAGGTCAGTACTGACTCTCGTGAGCCGCGCGTCGGCCATGCTCCCATTTGAATATCTTTGCGATTTTGGACTAGATGAATGACTGACATGCTCTGAAGAGACATTTCGCCTGATGAGGAAATCACTTTCGTGCTCGTGGTAGCCCGATTCACAATCGCCAAGCTTGTACTTTTTCAGTGTGGCAAAAAAATCTTAATAGGGGCTTATGATTTAGAATCTGATTGCGTCCATTCAGTCCTATTCTACAGGTCCTTAGATAAAAGTCTTTCACTTTGACAGAACCCTCTACGTTAGTGTCTGAATTCTTGATATCCTTTCCGTTCTTTCTTCCCTTTCAGTGGTGTCATGCCTAAAATCGCATTTCGGACCCCAATACCCACAACCCGCGGAATATTTGTTCGAGTGCCCCAACTAATGATACCCCCTTCACGCTGCAGTGTATTGTTCATTCAGGATGTTTCTACTGTGGTTTTATCTGAGCTTGGAATCTGAACTTACTTTTCTACTCCTGAGATGGTCTTTGACGCTGAGTATCCTCCAGCAACAATTAGATCGTCTTTTAGCGCACATGCCGCAAAATTGGACCTGGACTTTCGAAGTGAACTATCTGTCTTCCGTAGTCCAGTTTCAGAAGTATTACTCAAGAAGTAAACAAAAGTGAGAGCGCTTCCACATAAATGATAGCTAATACTAACCTGTTCGATTTCATTGGGGGCCCTTCTGTCCATGATAAGTGACCGATTGTCCACATGAACACAGTATTCACCCGATCCTGTCCATTAAAACCCCCAAGCACGATCAGCGTGTGAGGATTGTACAGTACCATACAGTGACCTAAAGAAGACTAATTAAAAGTCAAAATCACAAAGCATCGCTAGTTCATTACCCGAACGAGGTGCAGGCATGTTAGACACTTCGATCCAGGTGTTTGTTGCTGGAGTGTATACTTCCACGGATGTCAGAACCTGAAG